GGGGCATCAGTTGACGGAAGCCCCTGCGATCTCGCCCGATGATCATTGCGGCAACCCTCGGGTTGAGGGTGCCGGCTGCGTGCAACTTTTTGAGCTCTGCAGCACAAGAGTCTGGCTTAGAGCTTAAAGTTCCGTTGACAGAGTAGGTGAGTAGGTGATAGGAACAACTCACCAAACCGTTCGCTTTAGAAGAGTGTCCTGCAGTGTAATGCTTGGTGAAATCTGGGTCTCTTTATTTGGAGGCTGATTTCCCGTTCACATCATATTCAAGATCCTAGATAGCGGTTCTTCTGGGCTGCCTAATTCCTGCAGCTCCGGGCCTAGATTCGAATAAGAAACCTCCACGGGCAGGCAGAGCACCCGATCTCCTCAAACCGCAGGCGATGCTGAAGCTTAGGTTTTAGGGCACAAAGATAGTAGCAGCGACTGACCATTAAGCTTTCCGGGTTTACGTTAAGATTGGGCAGGAAAGTCTTGATTAAGAGCCTGGACATGCTTATAGACCTTGCATACGCTTGCACGTATACCCTCAACTAATCATCTTGTATCGGACGTGGCGCCGTGAACATCGGGGAGCAGAGTCAAGATATGACACGAAAGGATAGCAGAATCGACGTCTCAGGTGGGAATCCGTGAAGAGCAGGACACTCACGCCCGGACTCGAACGGTTGAGCCAAAGACCCGACATCAATAGCCTTGACCCCTGGACCCCGAGACCTGATACCCTGAGACCGCAAACCCCCAAACTCCATAAACCAGCTAACACAATTTTAGTACAGTCTCGGGGGTGTATCATGAATAATACAACAGGGCACGGGGACTGCGAGGGCATGTTATCACCGTCAAAACTGCACGACATCGACTGTATCTGCGGTCCTTCCCCGCAAAAAAGCACACACGCACAATCCAGCAAGACACTTCTGAAATGTTGAGAGCACTTTGCCACCAGGGGTTGATCAAGCACAGGCTTTAGGATGCTTGAAAAGTCGGTTTTGCAGGTTGGTAGGTATATCATGCACGGGAGTTCGAGATCACACCTGTCTAGAAGCAGCCCACCTGAGAGTCTACCAAAGCGCGATCGCAGCCTCAAGTCCAGGCGCTCGGTTCGGCCCAGGAGGGAGAGCGTGCACTAGACCAGGCCATGCCCTTAAACAAAGAGCCTTCGGAAGCAGCGAAAACCGGAACGCCTCCAGTGCCCCGTATCCTTAAACCCATGACACGTTTAAGCCCGAAAAGTGCTAAGACGCCCTAGGGGTTGGAATACTCGGGATTAGTAGCCAATAAAGGTTCCCACTATGATAGACACCAGGACCTTCTTCTGCCGATTCTCGTCACTGGCAAGGCCCTTCTATTTTTCGCACACTCGAGACCTCCCTGAAGGCCGAATCGTAGTGTAGGGGCGCTAGTCATTAGTACAAATTAGGGTCCTTTAGGTGTCGAACTATTTTGGGTGCCGACCGATTATGCTTATATTGCTCCCGCCCAGCAGCAAAGGCTGAAACCGAATCGAATCATAAAGCGCCCCTAGATTGCCAGGGACGAGGCTCTTGATCCAACGAAGCTGATGTTTTGCAAGTTTGCCTGCCCGCGGGACTACCTATAGTCTCCATTGTAGTTCCTTTGGAGGGTTATCCTATATATATATATATGTATATAGTATGTATATATATATATATATATAGGCTCTTAATTGTAGAATTGGTCAATATAGGTGTGCCTCCAAGCTTCAAGTCATCTGAACCTAAAGAGATGTTTGGTGATAGTAATGACATTGTAGAGGTTTGGGGTGTAGCATTCGGGGTTTAGGTATCAGGCATTTCGGGCACCCAATGCTTCATGCAGCACGCGTTTGATCCCGACTGACATTGGAGGTCACATGGAAGCGAGTTCCGTAGGTTTTTCAGAATCAAGCATCTTCAGCGGCCAGTGGATAACCTGCAACCTTCGTCTGCAGGGGTCTAGAGGAAAGGCTAACCAATCAAAACCCAAGGTGACTAGAATGACTAGAAGGGGAGATTTTCGAGATACCGATTGGTTTACAAACAAACTATGATGTCTCACGACAATCATGAAAAGGAATCTGCAATCCTCCACCCCAGTGTTGGGGAATCCTGCTTTTTTGCAACCTGCAACGCATGCTACGAAGCATTATGGGGCTTCATCGCCAAAGCCCTTAACTTTCAGCTTTCTGTGCAATCTGGAAATCAACCTCGAAAATGCCCACTTATCGAACCCATTCTTGACACCCTCTAGGCCCCGACTATACAACCCACCTGGAACCCTTTACCCATATCCTCTTTCCTGATGTCCGATAGCGCAGTACGGAGCAGTTGGAGAGGGAGGTAGAGTCTCGCGGACTGGCTAAGTCTGGAGTCACAGTTGTGGTGAATGTATGTTCGCTTTGGCCCCATGAGCTCACCGACAGGGCGGGGGGAGGTCATTTTGCAGTTTCTCTCGGGTCTCTTCGGGCTTCTGTGATACAACTCGTCGATCATCTACCTCGGAACCCTATTCAAGTTCTTAATGTGAACGATGATGCTAGGAATGTGCAATCACGATGAGCTAATGAATACAAGTTTCGCGAATGTCAAGAACGAAGATAAACATAACATCAGTTATACTTGTCTTGAGTTCCAGGTCAGAACTTCATCGATTCCGTACAGTGAGGTAGGTGAGATTTTTGGACTTTCTAAACCCTAAATCCCCAGCCTTATAAGACCCTTTTGAAACTTTAACCTGGTGGGCCCACAAACAAAACGATCTGACAAACTAAAGGTTCCATGCTGCCACGCTACAGACGCTACAGTAGGGGCACATATGCGTCCTCTGTGTAAGTCTTAGACCCGTTCCCTCGAAAGTCACTGATGGACAAACACCCTTATTCTTGTTTCAGGCCTGAAATTCCGAATACTTGCTACCGGAGAACAAGGTTCTTGACATAATACCTGTAAAGAAGATGGCTTGAGGATTGAAAGTTGAGGAGAGGCAATGCACATAGGGGTAGGAAGGACTAGTCGTATATATATATATATATACATATATATATATATACATATATATACTGTGTGTGTGTGTTTATCTCTTTGTGTCTATCTGTAGGGATTAGATATACATATATATGTATTTATTTATCTACTTGTTTATTTATTTATTTATTTATTTATGTATATGCATAAGTGTATATGTGTGCCCTTATCGTTCGTCTACAGTTATAGTGTGATCTACCCCGAAACCCAATTGTACAGATTCAGCCCTTTTTGCTGTGGGGCCGCAGGATCTAGGGCCCTAGGAAGGAAAGACACAACAGGACACCCATAATACGGTCAACTTTAATCTACCAAAACCTATTTTTGGGCAATTTGCTTCTGTGTTCTAACCCTGATGTAGAATTTGTCGGGACCCTACAACAGCGAGGTTTTGTTGGTAGGTTAAGGAAGGGCTCAGGGTTCGGGATTGAAGGTTGTCGCCCCCCCCTAAGCCAATGGAGCGCGCGACTCGCATCCAGCGATGTGTGTACGGCGAGCCTGTGCCATCAGACCTTTTGCACTCAGACGAAAATTCCGGAAGGGCCCAGGGCCCCGCAGCCGTAATCGGTTTAGGGTTCAGGGTAAACCCTTGAAGACATGACTTAGCCTTAAGGCAAAACTATCTCTTTAGATGCTTCCTGTCTTTTCTGCTGCCCTAGCACCATATTCCACACCTGTGGGACTCTCAACAGGCCCCTCGCCTCGTCAGGGAGTTTTCAATGCAGGCATCCGACTGTTCAGGGTCTCTACGTATTTGTAGCCCCTACGTAATTATAGTTTACATACACAATCCAATATGCATACAGACCATACGCGCAAGCATACACACACACACACATGCGCAATGCACATGTATCATACGTATACATATGCATACATACATACATGCAAGCCCGTTGCAGTCTGAAGCCTGCACCCCAAAATCCCAAAAGCCTGATACTAAGTCTTTAGGCACTTGAAGGCCCCGAAATGAGCTGAGGCTTGTTGATGCTCTTCCACCCCGAGCCTCAAGCACCCTCAGAGGCGGTCGGAATGGTTTTGGGGGTAGTCGAGGAAGAGTTTAGCACTTGGTGGTCGGAGAAAGCGAACATCGTTCAAGTCAGGCCATTGACTGACTGGGGCTCGGGGTTGAGGGGGTTGGGTTTGCGTCACTACGCCTGAACGTACGAAGACCATAGGGCGAAAGGGCCGCACTGTTTGGGAAGTTTACAAGCTAGATTTGATTGTGGGCTGCTGAACATTAGTTACTACAGCCACTAAGCCTCCACGGCGGGGCATTGCCCATTTCATGGGCGAGGTTCCGGGCTAGTGTTCCATAGCCAGTGCAGACGGGTAAGGTCATTTCCCAGAGAAGGATCATACACTGGATGGAGTTTGTCTTTTGGATCAAACTCGGAATGCCCTTTGGGAACCTCTAACCGAACAGCAAGAATGCAGTAAGCCCGGACCCAACCGCATGGTTCGGACACAGGCTTTTCAGCTCTAGCGTTCAAGACAGGGAACCGATTTGCCGTGAAGCAAAGGTTCCCACTCACGACATGGTGGAAGCTTTGCAGCTATAGGTCGGTACCCGACCCCAAACCGTCGGTATCCTCATTGCCATGGTTTCCTTAGGCGACTCCGGTACCCTGCGGCAGCCACGTCCTATCCCTTCGCGACGCACCCTAAACCCTAAAATCCTGGATGATTGAAGATCTTATCTCACGACCCTGTCACGCTCCCTACAACCCTAAACCCTAAACCCTAATTCTGATCATCAAGGCCCTTGTCTTACAGAGCTTGGTCTGAAGTTCCGAAGCACAGAAGCTAGATTGCCAAACGTTAGACCGACGAAAGTTCAACTCCAACACCCTAAACCGATAAGAGGGCTTAAGAGTTGGTAGCCTGACACAGAGAATCAGACTCACATCGATTGCAGCCACGCCCAGGCTAAGACCAGTATATACAAACCCGTTGTTTCGGATGAACGACCAGGATTGCAAGGCCATCGTCAATGAGTTTTGGTCTGGACTCGGACCTGCTGCCAAGGCGTGTGCTTGATTTTGGGTTTAGGGTTTGGGGTTTAGGGGTTCAGGGTTTGGGGCGGGACTTATTATATTGGGGATTGTGTGTTTTTTGGTGAATGCAGGTCCCGTTCTGTTGATGTTCCAGATTCGTGTGTTCTGCTCCCAATGGTGGCCTTAATGGGGGCCCTAAGGGTCTAAGTATAAACGGCCTTTAGGTAGAGGGCTTCAGGCTTCCAGAGTCTATGGCTCTTGCTTTAGGGCTTGCTTCTTTGATCGTTTAGAGTTAGCGAACCTGAAGCGAAATGGGCCCCAGAACCAAAGCCTCTCCGGTTCACAGGGCGGCGTTTTGGGGGTGTCGCCTTCGTTCAGGTGCAGTAAATAAGCATCATGTGCTAAGCCCAATGCTCCTTGAGCATCCGCTAGACCCTCCACAATTAAAAACCTTGCATCGTTTCGGTATTTGCTTTTTACTGTGGCAGTATTTTGTTTCTCTTGGCGGAATGCGTGCCTTCGTGCAGTAGCTGTACGCTATCTGTGTGTGCGCTTGCTTACATTCATGCATACATTGCCTTTCCTGAGTCTCTATGTTTGGCGTGCCAACGGGAATAGTCGTGTGTGAGGTAGGACTGGTCAACCGCGCTTTGCAATATCTCGCTGAAATGTGAGCCAGAAATGATACGCTGGATGACCTTTTACAGTCTCTGCAATCAGAATATGCTACTATGGCGCCGGACAAAAGGGCTGAAGCCAGAAGGGCCCTCGAATCAGTTTGGCTTTCGCTGCAGAGTCGACTGTAATCCAAAATTCTGATCACAAAACCTCCCGAAGAAGCATTCGAAACCACAGCCCAGGGCTTTACAGCATGGCTGTGACAGCTCTTCACGCCCCAACCTGAGCCCTCAGAGTCCCACAACCCAAGCACGCTCGGGCAGGCGGCCCTGGGGCTCAAGCTCGAGAGCTTGCTGGCTGTGTCACGCGGCCTTTCACTTCGAGTTGGCCAGTTCACTTTCTTCGCTGATCTGTGAAGAACTCAATATTGGGTACGGAGGGTTGCAACTCGCTTAACGAAGCATTGCGGTCATTTTAGGGTTGGGTATACCTAAGTAAGTTTACACACGCGTTTGCATACCTGGACTGTTTAAGGGAGGCAATCAGGCTGTGTGGTCATCTGCAGACTCGACTTGCAGTTTTTTGTTGCGACGGCTTCCTGCAATTCGGCTGCTATTGAGAGAGTCATGTGAAACGGTTCCTTCTCTGTTGCATCGCCAAACCTCCAAACGTGACATAGTAAGGAGTGCAGGAGTGGCGAGTGTTGAAGGGATCCCTGCCTGCCACAAGCTTGCTGTATCCTGCAATAGCGATACTGTTGGGTAAATGACATTAGAATAGTGATTCGGCACGAGTACCAGTACGAATACTACACCATCAACCCCGGAATCCCAAGCCAAGCCGTACCAAGGTGGCTGCTCAATTGCTTCGAGCACAGCGAGGACCTGGATCTCGGGGGGTCGGCATGGCTTGGCATGTATATGTGGTTTAGAGCAGTTCCTGGTTACGGGGTGTTGTTTGCGGTACTTGTTTGAGGGTGCTTATAGAGTTTAGGACTCTATAGCACTGCATATACATTACGTTGAGAGCATGTAGGGGCTATATATACAGGGGCGACATGACCAAGGGCCTGCTTCTAGACACCTACATCGCTCCAAGTTGTTTTGAAGTTTGAGACCTTGACCCCACGGACCTCATTCCAAGCAGGATGTGGCCGGCTTCTCAAAGCGCTTATACCCTGAGCGCCTGCAGCTAGCCCGCCATCCGAAACACCTTACTGTAAGCCTCACTTCTCTGGACCCCTTTTCCCACTCTCAAACCACAAACCCTCTGCCCTAAACCTTAGAACGTGATGCCCTTAATCTTGTCCACTGAATCCGAGCCCTAAACTCCCAGCTTGCGCCCAACATCCAAAGATGGAGCCTCAGGCCCCCTCAAGAGAGAAACATCCCGAACTCTCAGCCCCCACAATCCTGATAGGGCTTAGACTATTAGAGTTTAGGGCCATATAAACCTAAGAGCGGCCGGTCAAACCTGGAACACTGAATCCTTGATCCCCAAAACCTTCTTATTCTACCCCGACCAATGCCCTTAAGCAAAGAAGTGTGGTGAACACGCCTTCACCTTTCTTCAAGAACAGTCACTAATCCCCAGAAAACCCAAACAGTCCATAGTAGCTTCTTAGCAGAGATGTTTGGGCCCCAAAAGTATATTTCTAATAATACCCTAAACCCTAAACCTTTGGGAAAGGAGCCGGTGGGCTTCTCGACCTTCTTCCTGCCGGCCTTCGTGTCCCACGACTGTCGGCCCAACTGCACCCTCTTGGCATTCGGAGTTTAGGTCTGCTGCTGTGGGTGCTGCTTAGCGGTGTAGGCCGGTATTTAGAGTTTAGGGTTTGACGTTACATTACGGTGCAGTTCGGGGTTTTACAGGGGGACATGATATAGTAACTTTCTCTGACTTCTTTCCATTACAAAGAGTCGGCAAAAGCTCTGGGATTCGAGCCCTTGCCCTAAGCGTGTCACGCTGAGGTGTTGTCACTCGAGCCTTGAGTTCATGAACTGCCGTTCTAGACATCGGATACTGTCTAAATGCCAGGGTGTGCGCGCTTTGAGGTGGCACGCCTTAATCCGGGGTTTTGGATCCTGTTGATGTGGATCTCCCTTCGCGCCCGGTGGCTGCTACAACTCCCATGTCCCGAGCTGATTCGTAGGTATCAGGTAGCTAGGCAGACAGCTCAGCTCCCCAATTACAGTAATTAAGTCGCACTCATTCATGCTACTCCTGCCGTTCTGTTGATGTTTTTGCAGGCAGGCTTCTTGTTCAGGAGTCTTTGCGTCGAGCCCCAAAATCCGTCAAAGGCATGTGGCACTACGAGGGCGACTCCTTCGTGATGCGCGCAAGGCAAGCAGCACCAACAAGGGGGAGAGGTACTATCAGCTGACAGCTGTCCGGGCGGTTAGGTCAACTTTGCCCCACGTGAAACACCTGTGCTTGCTGGCAGTCCGGGAATACTAAAGCTATTGAAGGTTTTTTGTCGGAGCTGCGGCGTCTGGTAGGTGCGCCAACAAGGTGCACCAACCGCCTGGCAAATTGGGTTAGTGGCGCCGGCTCTGGGATAGCCGAACTGCTAGTTTTAGTCTTGAGGAGGCAATCACAGGTGGAACATTCTAAGTAACCTGCACCAAACCCGTATGTTACCCTCATACAACTCTTACAGAAGTTTTATGTCCACTTTGCACCCTCAACCTGATCGCACGCGAATCAGGAGGGACATCCCGCAGGGCGAGGAGATTACAGTGTTGCCAGCTCGGTGAGTTGAACCCGGAAGGTTAACCATCTCCCACTAGAGCCGCCTTTACTCACCAGAATAAAGCTAGGATCCGACTTTCCTGGTTTTCGGATTGTTGGCTCTGCGTGTGTGCATTGAGCCGTTCTGATCTGTGGCCTGAGCCCTCATGCAAAACTCTCAGCATTTGCGTCCAAACTCTCCCGCACACTCAACCCGTCTTGCCCGCCAAAGCTCTGAGCCTTCAACCCTGCACAACTCCACAACCCAAAGCTCTAAACCCTAAACCCTAAAAGCCCCAGAGCCTTAAAGCCCCTGTCCTAAACCCCAAGCCCTAAACTGCCCCGTTAGAGCCCTACACTGCCCCCCTAAAGCCCAAAAGGTCTTACCTCGCCGAAGAGAGTCTCCTGGAATCCACGGCCAGCCGCCGAGCCCAACTCGAGGCTTTCGCACCGGGACCGCTCCTCCTGTGGCCTCCAGGGTTCATGCGGTTCATGGTTTAGGCTTTGGGGTTGGGTATAGGGGTCATTTAACATCAGCAATCCCATTTTGGGGGGGGTTTCCTATTTATAGTCTACTGTACCTTTAGGGGCCTAAATAATTGCCAATACCATTATGGCGCGTTGTAATCATCATAGTCCAACATACTCCAGACCCTTACTCTGACTATCCAGGCCGCTTTAGTCGACCCGAACCCTAGGACTTCAAAAGTGTGTGTTTAGGGTTTAGGTTTTCGAGCCTAAGGGGGCCTCGTGAGCTTGTTTTTGGCAGGGACTTACCATCAGCAATTATGCAGACCCCTATTGCACAGGTCTAAAGGCATGTACTCGGTCTGTAGCTCACTCCGACTCAAATCTACTAAATTGTACATAAATGCTAGCGGCAACAGCTAACTGGCCGAAAACCTCGGATATCTCACGGCCAAAATCACCCAAAGCGCTTGAGAGGCAACGAAGCACTTCCTCTGCAACTGTGCCACATGCTCGCAGGCACAGCGGACTGTCACAGCTGTTCATGCGATGCTGCGGAAGCCCCGTCCAGCTGTGTCTGAAATCGATCACAGATGCTCGCCAGTGGAATTCCGTCCCTGTCCCAATTCAGCCTGACTGTGTGCGCGCGAAGTTATTTCGGTCCATGGCTTGATTTGTTCGCATTGGTTAGTCTCTGGAGCCCCAGGGAAGGGTCCGAAGGCAAAGATGAAGCTCGAAGACAGCACAAACATGGGAGACGATAGGTCCTTCACCCCAACCTTTCCCCTTCGGCCACTCGTGGCCAGAGGTGCATCAGTTCGATGCACAGGCCTTCACGGACCCCTTGAGCACCGAGCACAGCTTCGCCCCCCAACTTTTTTGGGTTCGTTTGTTCAACTGAGAAGGGCAGCCAGCCAGATGCCAGCCAGCCGTTGACCCAAGCCTGAAGTCAAGCACTGACAGTCCTTCAATTCCCGGGTTCCTGGACTGAGTCGAAGACCCTGAACGTCGAACCATCCAATCTAAGAGCCCGACTTCGACTTCGCTTGCCTTTTCTGGAGGTCCCCCAGTCGCTTACTTAACCCTGTATGAGCAACACTATTCACCTCCCTGCCGCCCTTTTGACCCCAAAAAAGAGCCGAACCCTATGAAGCTCCAAACCTTTTCAAAACGCATGTAAACCGCTTGAAACCCGGTATGTAAAGACCATCAACCCTCAACTGCCCTGCACGCCCTTTGGTCGCCAGGCACTGGATCCCGTTCGTGGTTTCCGCTGCCCAGGCCTGTACTACGAGCTGGTTCAAGGGTTTAGGCTTAAGGGTTTGGGGTTTAGTGTCCTTGGGCCTTGGTTCGAGTTGAAAATCCTTCCCCCAAAGCCAAAAGCCTCAAGCAATGAATGCACTGGGGACCTGGAACGTCAGGCCCCAAGCTGCGCAACAAGCTGCACAAACCCTGAGCTCCAAGACCCTTAGGCCTCGAGTCGCTAGCGCTGGCCTCATGACCACAGTGGAGCATTCCTCAGTACCAGCAGCACCTGTTTGCCTGGTCTCCTTATTAGAAGTGAGGAAGGGTAGATTCGAGAGAACACCGAAAATGCACCTAAATCCGAGCTTCACTGTCTCATACCAATCTGAAGCCCAAGCAGCTGACCAGCAACGGCTTTGGCACTTTAGGGACCGGTGGTTGTGGGGATGTGGGCTTCAGAGGCTTGGGGAAGGGTTTGGTCGGGCAGTCTCAGCGTGCAGGCTGCGGCAAGGGTGACATATTCCTCGAGATGGTGATGGGATCCCTGCAGCTGCTTGGACTGATTTCTCTATAAGACTCGATAATGCGACGCATATCTTCAGCATAAAGATCTCATTTCAACTCTTGGCTTGGGTTCAGGACCCGGCTCAGGAGCACAAGTTTGTATCCATGCCTTCAGGGTTAGTTTCGAGTTCGGTCTCACATCTGTTATGGCCTGAGCACAGAAACGTCACTGTTGATGCTTGAGCCGTCCTGACTCATAGCCCTAGAATATGATATACTATGATATACTCGAATATGCTGTACTATACTATAATAATTTGTAACAATACTTGAAATATGCTTTCATATACTGAGGGCAAGCGCACCGAACGCGCCAAGCGTTGACCCGTTAACCGGGCCCGATGAATGTGCGATTGTGCCACATAGAGCACCACGACGACCAGGGCGACGACCAAGACGACCACGAGCAACAGGACCACCACGACAGCCAGGGACCACGACGAGACCTAGAGACCACTTCAACATGCTTCTCCTCAGGGACTGGCGGGATTCTGAATTCTTCCTCCCATGTACTGGCATCACCGCTATGCTTCCCCACGCATACTGGCGGGTGTGCCTCTCGCGCACTCTTACGATACATATCGCTTTACATTGAGCTTGAGAACTACATACCGTGGACCGCCGTGTACCCATAGTTTGCGGAAAATCCCTGAGCCCCAGACGTGGAGCCCCTGTTTTGCAGGCCGAGTTCTCAGGGCGCTTGTGGGGTCTGCGGCTTCCTTCCAACGGAGGCTCAAGCCAAAGAGATGATCGACCAGGAGGCCCCAAATATGGGTGGCGGGGTTTCATTTAGTTGTTTGTTTTCTGTTCTTTTGTGTCTTTTGTTGGCGTGGCTTGTTCTCGGACAACCCACTAAAGCTTACCACAACATGCAATCATCCTAAACTCCCAGACCCAAAACCGTAAATCCTAAACCCCGCATGAAACCGTAAACGCGAACCACCCCGACAAACTCTAATGCGCTGCCCCTTGACAGCCGACGGCACAGGCTCGCGTTGAAGAGCCGGGCACTCGACTTCTGAAGAGAATCCAGGAAGAACAGGAGAGATATGGACGGCCAGAGTCAGAGTAGAATCAGCTTCATCCTTGCTGATGGACGTAACATGTATGAAGCAGGCACCTGCACTTTTTACCTGAACCGTAGGCCGTAGACCCTGGAAACGAGATGAATAGAGCATGCCAAACCTCTCGGGCGAAGCACTGTTTGCCAAGGGTCCCCGCCAAGAAAATCCCGTCAACACACTCCGACTCGGAGTGGAGAATGAGTTCAAAAGCCTCCAAGGTGTGTCCAGGAGTGGGATCGCAAGGTGAATAACGCCGCGACCTACCTGCCACAGGACTCAGCTGTTGAGTTCATCGGACAATTTCTAGATAAGGTGCATGGTTGGGCTGCATCGGGCTTAAATGCCTTTGACTAGAAGCATGAAGCCCATACTGCCAAGGGTCCGTATTCCTCAGAGCTCCGAGGTGAATCGGAAGGTCTGCTGTAGGCTATCGAGCGAGACAAGAAGGTCATACAGCCAGACGATCCTGTGCAGGGTGAGGCAGGCCTCATGTCAGATACCAACCCTCAAAAGACAGTACAGCAGCCCGCAAAGCAGTCGAAGACTTTTCGTGCATCCTGACAGCACTGTACAGAGGACACCGCCCTGCGCCTTGAAAAGAACATGGCCGGGCTCTTTGCAGATGGCCACTGGCTCCGGGATCGGGTGGCAAGGCCACGCGAGTACCTGCAGGGCAGGTTTGCTGTGGAATGCAGGGTAGGACTCACGTGGTCTTCGTTACCTTCTAAGCCGGAGCTTCCAGTGTCAGTGTGCTAGCACATCAATGGCCATAGGAGTGCGATCCGGCTTGGCACTCCTCGAAATTCATACATTTCGCGAGCCCGTGCAGTTAAAGCTCTACTTAGGTAGATTTCGATGTAGGTGTCATTCCACGACGCCCCTCGTTGCAGGCACTTGGTGAGCTTCTACGAGGCTCGTGCCATGCAGAATTGACAAACCCCTTCCCGACATCCCAAGGCCTTGTCAACTCATCGGACTAAGCCTTGGGCTCGAGTTCATAGCGTGGGAAGCTTCGGACCCTTTCAGCTACATCGGGGGTAGAATCCCAGCTGTTACACGGTTCTCGTGGTTACCACATTTTGGGAAACCAGGTACCTGTTGACTCTTGGCCGTGTAGATTCTGTATGTATGTATACATGCATGCATGCATGTATGTATGTATATATCTATGCATGCATGTATGTATGTATGTATGTATGTATGTATGTATGTATTCATGTATTCATGTATTCATGTATTCATGTATTCATGTATGTATGTGTGCACAACATA